ACACTATCTGGGGGTGAATTTGGCAACTTTGTCATGACTTCAGTTTCCCACTAGATGCCCCTTGAGTGTATCCACAAGGCTCTGTGCTTAGAGATTCTCTCTGTTACTTTGTGTTCAGATTAAAAAACACACACAAAAACTGGCAACAATTTGAAAGCCCATGAGTCAACCAAAGATTAACAATTTGTTGCCATTGATACAATGTATATGATGCAACAGTCAAAAGAAATGAGCCACATCGAAGGCAGGGGGCAAAAATAGCTCTTCAATGTTTTTAAGAGGAAAAAAAACAAACAAAGGAGCCAAGAATAGGAAAAGCAAACGGTGTGACCTCATGTGCATACAAAGAAATAACAGGGCTATGGAATGAAAAGCAATTGTAGCCCTGGCCAGTGTGACTCAGTGGTTGGAACACGCCGCCCCCCAACACCAAAGGGTTTGGGGTTCCATTCCCCGTCAAGGGAACGTAGCTGGGTTGAATATTTGATCTCCAGGCCCGGTTGGGGTGCGAGCAGGAGGGAACTAATCCATGTGTCTCACATAGATTTCCTCTTTCTTCTTTCTTTCTTTCTTTCTTTCTTTCTTTCTTTCTTTCTTTCTTTCTTTCTTTCTTTCTTTCTTTCTCCCTCTCTCTCTCTCTCTCTCTCTCTCTCTCCCCCTCCCTCCTGCTCTCTCTAAAACTCAATCAGAAAAATATCCTCAGGTGAAAATTAACAAAAAAAAACAAACACGAAAAAAGAGAAGTGATTGTAGGTCACCATGAACAGGTGACATTGAACACGCTATGACTGAGAAATTACTTAGAAAGTGTCAAAAATGGGAGATCCCTACATATCCCTTTGAGTTCTCCATCCCTTGCAAAGGCTATTTCCCCATCCCAGGGGCCCCAGCATTCTGTGGTTTGGTCTGAATCATTCTGTGTAGAAAACAGCCCCCACCCCCAGGTGCTCCGTGGGGCAAGTTGCCACTTGGGGGACCTGTTGGAGTTTCCAGGAACAGCAGGCAGCCACATGACAAGGACGCTCTGGTTTCTGTGTCCCTCAGGCCATGGCCGCACATCCCCAAAGGTCACAGCCATGACACTAGTATCACAAGTTGTCCTAAAGATTAGCTTTCAGAACGATATTTACTCAGAAAGTGGAATAACTGATTTCCAGGCAACTTAGAAGGCCCTGCCCTGTTGGATGCCTTCTCCCCGACTGAGTTTGAAATTCCTGAGTGTTTCCAAGGAGACAGCCCTCCTCCCATTGTTCTCTGGCTTAGATGTGACACGCCTACCCTGAGGCCCAGGACAGGGACCCCTGCTTACACTACGATGACTAGATGTGACACATAAATACAGGGTGCCCCCCTAAAAGGTACACACACTTTGAATGATTCTAAAACATACAGTTCTAATTAACATACAGTTCATTTTCAAAATTTAAAAGAATCTACAAAAATGAATATATTTTTTTTTTCTGTCAACGCCTGTTTTCAAACTGATGATCGTTCTGGTCCAGGCCCTGCTGATAACATGAGGCAATAGAATCGCAAACATCAAGGATCATTTCCTGGGGTATTTGTGCCCCCTCAATGCGTTGACTGCTGCTGGTTTTGTACCGTAAATNGTTTAAAAGAATCTACAAAAATGAATATATATTTTTTTTCTGTCAACGCCTGTTTTCAAACTGATGATCGTTCTGGTCCAGGCCCTGCTGATAACATGAGGCAATAGAATCGCAAACATCAAGGATCATTTCCTGGGGTATTTGTGCCCCCTCAATGCGTTGACTGCTGCTGGTTTTGTACCGTAAATTTTATTTTTCATGTGTCCCCGTAAAAAAATGTCTGGTGACACTTTAGGATAAATTTTCTCTGTTCAAAGCTTAGTCTGGCTTCACCCATTGTTTCATCAGTTAAATCCGAAAAGGCGTGAAAATTAAGTGAGTTATCACCTGTTAAAGTGTGGATACATTTTTGGGGGACACAAGGTGTGTAAACATTTTGGGGGATAAGGGTCCCCCAAAATGTTTGAATAATTACATAGACAGGTTTTGTAATTCAACTGCATTTTCAAACTTCCAGTAGCATTTTAGNTTGGGGAATAAGGGTCCCCCAAAATGTTTGAATAATTACATAGACAGGTTTTGTAATTCAACTGCATTTTCAAACTTCCAGTAGCATTTTAGGATGAATGTCTTTTGTTCAAAGCTTAGTCTGGCTGGAAAGAAAGAAACATCCATTGAGGTATCAGCTGTTAAATGTGTGCACATGTTTTTGGGACACCCTGTATATACGATCACTCCATTTAACAAGTAAAAAAAAACACACACACACAAAAAACACAAGATGCTGGTTCATTTGATTTCCAGATCAACCACGAATCATTTTTCTGGCTTTTAAAAAAGTCCTTTTGTAATACTTGGGAATCCCTTTACTAAACAGGATTCATCGCTGATCTGAAATGCAGATTGAACAGGGCATTCTGTATTCTGTTCTGGATGTGCACTGAGCTCTAGCTATACGTGAAATCTTTCTCTGTCTTAGCAAACAGGGGAAGATGGGCTCATGGCTCACCCAGAAACACTGTTGGAGGGTGAATTTCTCTGGTTTTAAACCCCTAGTTTGGAGCACTTTGCTACTGCAGCTGTAAGAAACTGAGCCTTATTTTTCCAATTGTTTCAAACGGAGGGTTCAGTGGGTCCCCATGACACCGTGTTGGCAGGAAGCAGAGGTCTCTGGTCCTATTTCTGTCACTGTGTTCTGCAAGCAGGTCCCTTGTTCCCACCCCAATGTCATCTCTTCCCATCACTTACACATCAGGTGTTCATTTCATCACATCCCTCACTGCCTTTCCAGACACACTGTCTCATATTTTGTAAACCTCCTGCACTAACCCCAGAAAGGGGCACACAGGCATGTGTGCAGAGGACACAGCTCCAAGATCATGTCCACCTCTTACAGGTGGCTTCCTAACCCTGGAGGTGACCCCTGACCCATGAACATGGGGAAGGTGATATCAGGTGAAATTGTGGGTCTAAGAGACTGATGGTTTCAATGGTGGGAGACATACCTGCCTTTGACTCCTGGCCCTGGAGTGTAATACAGGTTCACCCTTTACCTAAGGGTGTGGGTTGGGCAGGGACTTTCTGATGGTTCCCCCTAGCTAACCACACCCGTAGACCCTGAGTTGTCTCTGTTCCTTTTCTTTCTTTTTTTTAAACTGTCTCTCTAGGATGTGTTTTTATTGATTTGAGAGCTAGAGGAATGGGGGAGAGAGGGAGAGAGACATCGATGTGAGAGAGAAACAGCAACTGGCTGCCTCCTGCACGAGCCCTGTTTGGGGCCAGGGATCAAACCTACAGGTAAGTGCCACGACCAGGAATCAAACCAGAAACCTTTGGTGCACTAGAGGATGCTCCAACCAACTGAGCACCTCAACCAGGGCTCTGTTCCTTTTTTTAAAGGCAG